ATGTACTTATTACCTTAGTTATGTAACTGTAACCCCTCTGTACATCACTGACAATAAAAAAGAAATCACAGTCTCACAGGTAGAATTCATTGTTAATCAAAGATAAGGTGGCGCTCCTCATTCTGTGTGTCACAAGCTGGAGGATAAATGTGGAAAATGGGTTATTTTTGTTGCTTTTAAATGCAGATTCATCTACTTATGACCTTGGAAGTTCAGAGTTATCTGCCTACTAAGATGTTCATTAAACTCTTTCCAGATTATTTGGTCTATCTTGCCAACATAAAACATTTTAGAATGATTTTATTAGTATACATTAATTGTACAAAAGGGAAATGTCATGGTGACACAATACTATGTATTCCAATCAATTTCATCACCTTTATCACTCTACCTTTCCTTCTCAAACTTCTTTCATCACTCTTAACAAGTTTCAATGTTCTATTTTTATACTTGCAAGTTAACTACTTCAACCATATTTATTCTCATCCACCCTCGCCAGTAGATGCCCTCATACACACACTGGCTTGTTACCCACACCCTCAAACATTAGAGCCTATGTTCTATTGATGAAGAGAGCCACATCACAATCACTTTTCAAATGAGAACATTAGACTTAGGAAAATGCATAAACAGTACAATTAAGTTCTTTGTAGCATGGATAAAACGAATATTTTCTCAAAGGTTAGTTTTCCATTATTAAGTAGACTCAAAATATATTCTATATAATTAATATGAATGATAAAGGATGATGATACTCTGAACACCTTAAATATAGACCCAAATTGAGGAGTCTGTTTCCAGACTTTCTTCCCAATCGCCTGGTAAAGCTCTCACAATATGAAAAGAAGAAAGAGGTCTCTGAAGCTTGCAGACAATAATTTTGCTTTGTATACTAAATAAAAAATGAGTATTAAAACCTACACATGAAGTCTGAATCACTGGGTAAGCTCTTACACAAATTTTATGGCCCAGAAATGGTCATAAATATTTTTTTTTAGTCTGTTGTGGGGCTTGAACTCTGGGCTTGGGCACTGTCCCTGTGCTCTTCAGCTCAAGGCGAGCACTCTACCACTTGAGCCACAGCGCCACTTCCAGTTTTCTAGTGTAAATAGTATTACATTTATTTTCTGTGCATTATTTACACTTTTACACCTCTCTATTAAAAAATACTTCTTACAATTAGTATCTCTGAAGAATTCAAATCGATGGGGATTTTCCCCCCTAAGAGCATATAACGTAATGGTATGTTTTATAAATGGAAAACATCTGAGAGTCCATAGAATGCTATATCTTCCACAATCCTTTTCAGTTTAAAACCCCTTTCTTAAGAAAATTCACATGCCTCAAAGAATTACTAGACTCATTAACAAAGGTTGTAATTTTTAATGCTTATCTGTCTGTGACTAATTTCCTCTGACTCATAATCTTCAATAAACTCTGTTGTTCAAGATACCACACACATCTACTCAACAGATTCCTCCATGCACACAAAGGCTCAATTAGAAACCTCAGACCTCAGATACCATAGTGTAAGTCCCTATCAATAGGCCAATAAAAGGCAACCCTCAGGGGATGATACCCCAAGGCAATTTGCCAAAAGAAGAGAAGTCATTTCACACACATGAAGTCCCTTAACCTGCTTGAGAAATCATCAGATTCTTGGTTCATACCGTAGGCACAGATTTTAAAATGGATTCAGTCTGGGAATAGATCTCAAATACACTCTAAATCATACACAGACCCTTTTAGGATACTCCTAATCTCCAGAACTAAAGCAGTGGGAAGAAGCCACTGGCTACACAGTATTAGCAAGAGGAGTCAAATGGGGGATTTTCCTAGTCTTTCCATTATCCCACAAAAATATACTGATGGACATAGAAACTTGATTGAAACACTGACCCCCCACAGGATGCTAAATCAGAAAGGAAAAAGGAAAGGGGGAGATGGACAGCCTTCTCAAATCCTTAAATCATCTACTAAGACAGAGTAAGACAAAGCACATTTACCCTTTTATTTTGCAGTCCAAACAGTGAAGAAATGATTTTACAGGACTCCAAATCACAATTACTGATAGAAAAGCAAATATATGTAAACAAATGGGTTTCTATTCAGTGAAACCACAGATGAAATGATAAAGAAACGCTACACTGACCATAGACACTTTCAACGTCACAATGTGAATAGAAAATACACAGACAAATGGGGCTTGCTAGTGCTGTTGATGAGCGCAAACCTCCTAGAACAATCTGTCAACATGTGGTTAAATCGAACAACTATTTCTTCAGTGAACAAATTCAATCATGCTCCTACATGCATGTCTCAAAAGAGATTTTCACAGAAATTTTATACTTTCCATTAAGGAATTGAATGCTAGCATTTGTAGTGGTGCAGCTTTGGAGGAAGATGAAATGATAAAAGAACATACTGGAATTTGCTGTGTTCTCACAAGTGGGGCTGAATTTACAAGCACAAGAAATATCAAATGCACAGCACACAGGTTAGAGCTGCACACATTAACACTGCTCTCACCCCCTGGAGGGTTCTAGTAATATTCATTACCAGAGTCCCTTCTCTAGGTACCAGGGCCTTACACTATAATCCTAGCAACTCAGCAGGCTGAGATCTAAGGATATCAGTTCAAAGTCAGCCCCAGCAACTAGATCCACAAAACTCTTTTATATGAAAATGGCATCTAGTTATTTCTCCCTGCCCTCTTTCTCTCCATCTCAGTCTCTGTGTCTGTCTCTGTCTCTCTGTCTCTGTCTCTCTCTCTCACACACACACAATTTTGTCAAACTTTAACCTTATCACTTAAATGAAGTACTCTTACCATATGGCTTTGCTTTGGCGTATACAGATTACCAGGATGACTATTCCTGTGCTGTGGGCCACACGCCATTACAAGGGTAGCATAAACACAACTCCCATGGCAGGTGATCTAATAACTGATATGACTACTAAATGACTAACAGGTGGCTATCGTATACTATACAAAGAGATGATTGGCATCTCAGGTGGGACAGAGTAAGTAGTATTAGATGACATTGTGCTACAGTAGACCTTTACTATCATAAATACATAGCGCTAAGAAAACTTCTGAAGAAAAATGACAAATATACATAATGCAGTTTGTGGCACTATGCATGGGTTATTCGTTTTTCCTATTACTCCACCCAACTTCCACTAAAAACGTGTCACCTTCCAATAAGTCTAAAATCTTCACCTATCACTTAAATCAAGCACATAATGCCTTTTTTTTTTTTTTTGGCTTGAGATCACCATGACTTTTACCTTGCAATTGGGGGAGGCATATTTTCACAAAATTAAGGGCAGAGAAACACATAATCCAATTCAACTGAGTTGAATAATGCATGTCCAGGAATTTTAAATTCATGTATTGAAAAATTCTCTAAATTATATATAAATTATATCTATCTATCTATCTATCTATCTATCTATCTATCTATCTATCTATCTATCTATCTACCTATCGTGCTTGCTTTGGTCAAAACCACATGTAACAGATCAACCAATAAGGTGGGCTTGTTGTTAAAACTTTACGAATTTGTTTTATTATTGGAATTGTTCCATTTAATATCTTTGAATTGCATTTGATTAACAGCTTTTGAAACTATAATAGTGAAAAGTCAGATAACAGGGACTATTCTATTGCCAACACATGAATCATCTCTAGTCATGTTTTTCTTTTAGAAACTCAAAATATCACATGAGTAGAGCATAGTACTTTGTAAATAAAATTGTATGTTCAAATATAGAAATGTGAAACTTCCTATAAGTTAAATAAATCTATAAATAAATATGAAACTACCAAAACTATCATAGTAATTGAAGCAAAAGTACCTCCAACAACCGTCTCCAAACTAGCTCTAATGTACTTCCCAATATAAGCCAAAGAAATAAAATATGTAATCTGTCCTATTCCATTAAGTCCTAGTCCTAGCAACTTAACTAAAAGAAATGTTGGGAGCTAAATGTGCTTGTAGCCCTCTGTTAGAATCCTATTGTATATACACAAGTCTAACCTAATGATTAAAGTTCAAGAATGCATTAAGGAATAGTCTTCATCTAAAGATAAATTTCAAAAATGTAAAATGATAGCTTTGGAATCATTTTAGAAGGTTGCTTTAGCTTAATCAAACTAGCCAGAGAAAAAGTTTCCATAACTGAATACAGAATTCTAAATATTTCTAAGATTCTTTTCAGTTTCTCTAATAGCAGTTCTCTACCCAGTACAGACACCAAAACTGGGTGTTTTAAAAGTGCACGGATTGAAGAGTACACCTATTTGTTGTTATTCAAGTTCTGTTTGGTTACTAAATGGTTGTGGGCTTTGTTTTTTCATGTCAGTTGTAGGGCTTGAACTCCAAGCCTGGGTGCTTTCCCTGAAGCTGTTTATGCTCAAGGCTAGCACTCTACCACTTGAGCCACAATACCATTTTTTGAGTGATTTATTGGTGATAAAAAGTCTCTTGGAGACTTTACTGCCAGGGCTGGCTTTGAATAGTGATCCTCAGATCTCAGCCTCTTGAATAGCTAGGATTACAGGTGTAAGCCACCAGTGCCTGGCAGTTGCTTGTTTTTTAATGTTCTTTTTGTCCTTTTTAGTTGTTTCCTTAGCTATCTGTAGACTTTAGGGGATATGCACTGTAGGAACAAGACAAAATTCTGTATAATGCATGCTGTGTTTTCTGCCAGTTCTTGTACTTTATTTACATATCAGTATAAGAACCCAAAAACAATAATGAGGAACCTAACATTGAGGTATTGCAATAGAATGGACAAGGAATTGCAGAGATGCTTTGCTTACATGATGAACATTATTGCAGCCACATGGGGTGTGAGTCTATATTGTGCTAAGAAGCTCTCGTTCATCTATTCATTGAGGCACAGAGCTGGAGGAGTGGCTTGGCAGGCAGAAGCATTTTAATTCCATTATCACTCTTTTCTTCATCACTGGCTCAGAACTCACCCAACAAGAGTCTCTCCTTAGCATCCACGATATTCAAAGCCATGATTCATGTGCCTCCAGTTGTGAAATTTCTGATTGCAACACTCTCTGAGATGTTTAGAACTGTGCATGTTTCACTGATAGACACCTCTGGAAGAAAGGAGCTGGGTCAGTCCGAAGCTCTCTCAGAACTTGAAGGCAGACCTTCAGAGAAGTGAGATCTGGTAATAATGATTGCTCTATTGAAGGGAGGGTTGGTCATGGCGAACCACAAAGACATGGGAAATCTTTGGAGTTAAAGAACTTTAAATGTTCACCGGGAAGCTTGAGTTTAAAATCTTCCAAGTTAAGCAAGTGATTGAAAGGCTATGGAATCATTCAGGAGTGTGAGTTTATGTTGCAAAGTTTTCTAGACATTTTGGTATGTTTTCCTTTTATAAAGCTGTAGCATTTAGAAAGTAGGTATCACTTTATCTAAATCTCTACAATAGAACATATTACAGTGTATACCAGGGGAAAACTAGCCATAGATAATTTTATGGCTAATTTTATGGATCTTTCCTTGGGATTGTGCATGTAGAGATTCAGGAAATAATGTTTAGGTGATATTTTAATTATTAAATTATCCAATTTAATTGTACAATAATAAAATGGTTGGATAATAACAATAAAATATCAGACTAAGTTAATTATTTACTATCTTTCAGAGTCTGTTTTGGAAGTCTCTAAAAAGTATTTATTTTTTTCAGTTATTTTTTCATTTTTGAATTTGATTTCAATCTCCCTACTCTTAGTTATAGCTGATACTCTACCATTTGAGTCAGGCCGCTAGTTCTAGCTTTTGGTTGATCAGTTGAAGATGAGTTTCAAAGATTTGTCTGCCTAGGCTGTCTTTAATTTGAAATCCTCAGATCTCAATCTCCTGATAGCTAGGATTATTAGCATGAGCTACTGGCGCCAGGGTAGAAATTTTGTTTTTAAATCTCTTTATTGTTTTCTTCCTATGATCTTGAACATGAATATTATTTATTAAGGTTAGAATCATTGACATGCTAGTGTGGGGCTCAATGATTGGTTAAAAAATGCTTGGCCTTCCTCCTTGGAAATTATCAACACCCTTCTAATAATTTCTGAAGGACACATCATTTTGAGTGACAAGTGACAAGCTGATTCTCAATAATGTAGATGATATTTAAAAGTTACATGTTCCTCTCACCTTGTATTTGCAGACTTGAGTTGAAAGCTATTTGTAGAATGAGGGCGAATCAAAGTGATAGGGTAATACTCTCCCAAACATAGGCAGCTCAAGCAATTGTTTTTTAGTTTTATATGTGAAGGCCAAGTAGGTGTGGATTTTGTTTTTATAAACCCTTCTTTATTTTCTGTTTAAAATTAAGAAAGCTGTTTTGCCAGACATTCTCCATCCATGAAATAAATCAGATAGAAATAGAGGAAAAAGTTATTTTTTCCACAGCTCTTTCTCGGTTACTTATATTTCCTTTGATAATTTACCATTTCAAAGCAATTATCTTTGACAGCCTATTGTGCAAGGTAAAACAAGTGTCTTGCCCTTTGTGTGATAGAAAACATGGAATATTTACTCTTTAGTTGTTTACTATTCATTTTTTGTTTCATTGGACATTGTATTACTCATTCATTCATCCTAAAGTCCTTTTTATCTTAACTTGTGCTACTCTACCCAGAGGATTAGATCACAGAGGGACTGACCTCTGACCTAAAAGAAGATCCCACCAAATCTGTCTGGTCTTCCTTCCTTCAGTGTAAAGATGTGATCCTGGATATCCTCTTGTATAGAGTTTGACTCATTCTCTTGTAAATAGTATCCTCAGTCTTTCTGACTCACTCAGTCTTTTGCTTTATGGGCTAGGGAAACAGAGTACCAATTCAGAAAGAGTTTCTCACTAACCTAATTATTAATAGAGCAAAATATGAGTTTCTGTTTTTGAATAGAAGGTTAATAATACCAGTTTTGTGAGACACCTAGGAAGGGAAAAATAGTATTTAAGTTTTGTAAATGTCCAGTGGGTTTCATTTTGAAAATAACATGCAAATAAAAGTAAATACGGCAGACGCTAAAATGTGCGAAATGATCTAGCTACTTGTATCACTGTCAAAAATCTGTTAACTAGGCAGAAATGATTAATTGACTATTATAGGATGGCAATACTAATAGCTGGAAACTGCAATGTAACAAAATAAAAATGCAGCCATTAAGGAAAAACACATAAACTCTAAGTAAACTAAGGTATAAGTTATATAAAATATATAAACCCTAAGTAAATTAAGAAGAAACACATTTCTAGTAATTAATATAATCATTCTAATTTTGGATTGATAGGTCTAGTTTTTTTACAGACATACTCTTTTTAGCTCTTATTTTTCATACATGAAATTTTAATAATAAATGCAACTAGTTCTTAAAAATTACTTTTCCTTTTTATGTAAGAAAACTTGGCAGAGTTTTATTAAGTAAACAAGCAGACAAGCCGACAAACAGACATAAAAGGAAAATAAACAGAAGGCTAGGGGCACACTCTAGGAGAGTATGGGAAGTCTTATAGGGATATAGAGACAGAGAGAGAAACACACACATACACACACACAAATGCACACGTACACACACACACACACACACACACACACTCACATGCAGAGACAGACCCAGGAAGAAACAGAGAGACAGACACACATACAAGGAGACACACAGAGACACTATTTTTGCTTTTTGAACCACAAATAAATGATAGAAACCTTTGTAAGTGATTACTCATTTTAGATCTACAAAAGGAACTCTTTTGTCATAATTTTAATAAAGATAAATTTCATAATAAATTATAATCCTGGAAATTTACATAATTTTGTAATAAATCCTACAGAACAATAATTTAATACCTAAAATCATTCAGTGAAAAAATATCACCTTATTCAACTGAACTCCTTTACTTAATGAAATTTTATGTCTTTTCTTGTTCTCTTTACATTCACATACTTATTCTACTTTTTTCTATAGGTGTTTGAGGTATTACTAGAAATATAGAGCTATTGTAATGTATTTGTATGCTTGTACATTTCTTATGGATGAATAGATCCTTGTCTGTGACTAAAAAGTGCATATGCATTGAAATTAATTTTTATTTCCTGAGACTATAAAGTTCCATTTTCTTTCATTTTAAGTGACTTTTTACTTTAATTTTATAAAATTAGTCAATGAATTACAGGCAATAAAATTTAATGTATAATGATTGGGCATTTAAAAGTAAAATTTTATTAGCAATGACTCTCCTGATGTTGTTACTGGTTTGTAACTCATGTTCAAGGGTGATTGTTTATTGACATAATAGGAAAAAATTATCATTAACCTTTTCCATATTTTGAGTAGATATAAATGCTGAGAAGCTATGCTTGTGAATTGCCTTTCAATTATTTGAACTCATTCCAGAGCTTTCTATTATGAATAACATAGTTATGAATCAAGAACTATTTTTGTGCTGGGCACAGTTGTATATGCTTATAATCCTAGCTATTCTTGAATATCTGATTTTGAGATCAAGATCAGTATATCCAACATACTCCACCACAAAGCAAATACTTCCATTACTGTACATTCATAGGATCTGTTTTCAACATACAAGAAGGAAATACAGAATATTGTTTCCTTTGGGGTCTAGTTTCTATTCCTCAGTGTGTTTGTAAGATTTATCCATACCATTGAGTATGTCAATAAGTAATATTCCATTACATAAATATAATGCAATCATATATCCATTCTTCTGTTGTTAAATGTCTGTATTATCTCCAGTAATGTATTATTTCATTAAGCTGGTATCTGACCATAGAGCTTCTAAAAAAAGTTTTCTGTTTTCTGTGTTTTCTTTTTTCTAATTTGACTTTCCTAAAAATAACATTAAGGCCATTGCTTAGGCAATTTCAAATAGACATGTCTTTCTAATTTACAGGAAAAAGGCTTTTCAATATGTTCCAATAGCAATCCAATTCAATAAGTCTTTTAATAGAAACAACACAAGATAACTTTTTATGTTGAGAATAAAACATTTCTGTGGATCAATGGGTATTCTCAGAGAAGGACTGAAGATAGAGCACTCATGATATCAAAACTGCACCTGCAGAAAGACTAAGGTAGTAAAAGATCTTTGTGGTAATGATGGTTAAGGATGGCATTTTGTGAACAGCATTCCTCACAAAAATCTGGAGACAGTCTGAATACTCTGCCTGCAGTCATCATTTCTAGCAGTGGACTTTAAAGTACCAACCACTCAACAGTAGCTAAGATTTAAAGGTCCTTTATTAAGACAAGGAAGGAGCATGACCCAAAATAGAGAATGTTGTTTGGTAACTCCTGTGCCCAGAGTCCTTGAAGACTGGCTGGAGGGTATGCACTGGATGTAGCAAACATCAGAAAAGGTTTGCTTGATCATAAAACCAAACTACTAGGATATAAAACAAGATGAGAAAGATATCACTTCTGTTTTTGTTGTTGCTGTTGTTCTGATGATCTAGACCATAGTTTGTCCAAATAGACTCTGGCCTAGTGATAGCCATGAACTCACACTCTATGAGGTGAGTGTGAATACCACCCTTATAAAGGACTTGCCCTTTGATTCTCCTCCTGTGACAAACTATCCAAAAGACAGAGGAAAAGAGAAAACGAAGGTGAACCTTGAGGAGAGAAGGAAAGTTAAAACCAAGGAATTCTTATCAACCATGTGTCAGCTAGTTCATGAAGTGGTTTGCTCCTAACAATATGAATTGTGAAGGAAGAGATAAAGATTTGTATGCCACTCTTGGCTATGCACCATAGGCAGAAAAGTGACTTTGGTTTACCAAAGAATTTTACATTTTCTTTGCCAGCTTTTACTTACTTGCTAGAGGATCTCATGTGCAAGCTCTGGAGTGAGAATGAGACGTGTGACTCCCACTGTTAGGGCTGGAAGGTTGTAGAATTTCGTCACTCATCATAAGGGGCATGGCCAACATACTCACAATAAAGGACAGGTTGCTAAGAGAAAAGATGAAAAAAATGTACGTACTTGATTGAAGTGTTATGTGACATGAGAGTTTGGGAAATGAATCCCTTGAAATTCAGGGAAAATTCCGTTTGTATGAGAGAACTCAATGAAAAGTGAACATTTGTATAGAAACAAGACTGGATACAAGGATATAGTGTGATGTTAATAGATTTAGG